TAGTAGTCCATCAACTGATTCATTTATATTCTCCAAGCAGAAAATCATAGTAACTGCAAATAATATCCATTTTATCTCTTCTTTTCTCTTTGCTTTTATCTTAATGCATTGGTTTTTATTATCTTATTGCATAGATTAAATGCTTAGAAAACAAAGCAAAACAAAAAAATGTTGCCAAATACATTACTTGTGATGGTTAATTTTATGTGTCAACTTGACGAAGCTGTGGTACCCAGTGTTTTGGCCAAACACTAGCCTACATGCTGCCATGGAGTAGGTGCAGTAATTACATCAGTTGGCCTTGGGTAGAGCAGATTACCTTCCATAACATAATGTAATTATCTTACATCTAATGTAGTATAATATAATCACTTTCCATAATGTAAGCTAATGTAATGTAACCCATCAATCAGTTGAGCTCATACCATTGTAAGGTGGGTCCTAACCCTAATCACTTTTAAATTTTAAGAAGGCCAGAATAGACACATACACACACACACATGGCAGGACAGATGTCATATGAGGTTTGTCTACAAGGAACATCTGGGGCTGCCAACAAAGAGGTCCTCCCCTTAGGGTGATGCCCTGAACTGTGAGAAAATAAACTTCTGTTCTTTGAAGCTAACCACTTGTGTTAAAGCAGCACTAGATAACCAAGACGTTACTCAAACCAAAAATCTGCTCACTGCCATAGAGTTGATTCGGACTCATAGCGACCCCATTGGGTTTCCAAGGTGGTAAATTTTATAGAAGCAGATTGCCCCATCTTCCTTCCATGGAACCAACTTTCTGGTTAGCAGTCAAGTGCCTTAGACACTGCACCACCAGAGCTCCTTCAGACATTACTATTAATTCTTAACTCTTTTGCCCACTGAGGCACTGACATTCTACATCTGTGAAAATCACCCTGCGTGAGGAGTTCTAGCAGAGCAGGCTGGAGCAGCAAGGCCGGGAGGGGACATCAGATGGGGCAATGGTTCTGAATTTGGAGAAAGGTTGTCCTTGGATCTGCTGAGCTTACACTCCGGGAGCGAGAGAGCTGGGGAAGAAAGCTGTATCATTGGGGAAAGCCCCATCTTAAAGAGCCTGGCCTAGAGAAGCAGAAGGCATCTCCTGACAGAAAGACAGCTGCCGGAAAGACAGCAGGAATTTCAGCAGAAATCAGCAGTCCACAGGACATCTGAGAGCACCCAAGGGAGGGGGAAGAACAGCAGAGCAGTCCAAAGAAGGCACGGGCTGCTGCCAGGGCTCCAATTACAAGGGGGATAAGCCACCACTCTCCACAGGATGCCATAGGGGCATAGCCTCCTAGGTGGTCTTGGGAGTCCTTGGGTGGCGCAAATTGTTAACGTGCTCAGCTGCTAATGGAAAGGATGGAGGTTCGACTCCATCCAAGGGTGCTTTGGAAGAAAGACCCAAAGATCAACTTCCAAAAATTCAGCCATTGGAAGCCTTATGGACATTATTCTGACCAAAATAAATCAGTTAAAAAAGGACAAATACTGTATGATCTCACTTACATGAAATAAACAAATAAATGTTGTGGTTGTGTTTTCAGCTGCCATTGAGTCGATTCAGGCTCATGGGGACCCCATCTGCATAGAGTAGTACTGTGCTCCGTAGGGTTTCCAAGTCTGTGACTTTTGGAAGCAAATCACCAGGCCTGTCTTCTGAGGTGCTTCTGGGTGTGTTTGAACCTCTAAACTTCCGGCTAGTAGTGGAGCACTTAATAGTTGGCACCACCCATGGGCTCCAGCAAATATATAGTAAGAAAAATTGACTGGTGGTTCCCAGAGGTAGGAGGGAGGAGGAAAAAGGGAGTTTTTGCTTAGGGTGTATTGCATGTGTGTTAATGCTGGTGGGGTCATTTGGAAAAAGGTAGTAAGAAGAGTTGCACAACTCGAAGAGTGAAACTAATGTCAGTTGTATATGCAGAAATTGTTGAATTGCTGTATGTGTTGTGCACAGATTCACCACAGTTAAAATTAAATTAGATAAAAAATTAAGATTTAAAAAAAAAAAAAACAAAACAAAACACCACCCTATGGAGCATGTGCAACTCTGATACAAATAGGGTTGCTAGGAGTTGGAGTAACTCCATGACAACCAACACGTGGTCTTGGGGGCTGCACATGTGCATATTTAGGAAGAACTTTCCAGGGAAAACTGGGTGTGTTGCCAGTGAGCAAGGAGCTCTGGTGGCTTAATGGATAAGACATTTGCCTGCTAACCAGAAGTTCAGTGGTTCAAACCCACTAGCTTTTCCACAGAAGGAAGATGGGGTAATCTACTTCTGTAAAGATTTACAGCCTTGCAGACCCAATGGGGGGTCACTACGGGTCAGATTTGACTTGATGGCAGTGAGTTTGGTTTTTTTTTGTTTTGGTTTAGCCATTGAGCAGAAAACAGGAGCTCAGAGATGAAAGATTTTGTGTGACTATGACACTGTGGGTTTACCACAGGGAGCCACCTGGACATTCCTCCAAACCAGTAAACCAAACCCACCAGTAAACCAAATCACCAGTGAGGTGATTCTAACTCATAGTGACCCTATGGGACAGAGTAGAACTGCCCCGTAGAGTTTCCAAGGCTGTAAATCTCTGCTGAAGTGGACTGACTCATCTTTCTCCTACGAAGCAGCTGGTGAGTTCAAACCACCGACCTTTTGGTTGGCAGTCAAATGATTTAATTATTGCACCATCAGAGTTCCCTGGACATTCCTCCAGACACTTACAAAGCATGTGGTCACTCTGTTAGTGTCCAGCCCTGAGTTTCCTGTGCAGGGTCGACCTCCACCCCCTCCACCCCCTCTTCCCACTGAATCAGGCACTTCCTCTTGCTCCCCAGACATTCTAGGAAAAGTCCTGCTGAAGTGGGGAGGAACGGGTCTGAGGAGGGACTCCAGCAGGCAATGCATGAAGTTATAAGAACCAGTCAGGGAGGAAGTGGAGAGGACAGAGCAGAGGATGGAGGAGATGTATGACTCTGAGTCCCCAGACAGCTCTGGTGAGGCTGGGCCCATTGCTGGGGTGACAGGGGGAGGCTTCCAGAGTCCTAGAGGATCTGGGTCTGGGCTCCACATCAGAGGTCTGACCTACACATCCTGGGGAGCAAGTCAGGCTACACCCAGCTTCAAAGCTGAGCTGGGCTTGTGCTCTGCTTCATTTAGAGAAGAAGCTATCCCAGAACCTGAGATACTTTGAAAAAGATACTTGGCCCCAATATTGCCACTGCCCAAGGATCGTGCCAGGTACTGGTGTGAGTGGTTCAGGGACAGGAGCCTGGGGCAGTGGGTGGCTGGAGGCTTCTCTAAAATGGGTAGGAAGGGGTCTGGCCCTGAGCCCCCAGCTCTGCTGCCCCTGCAGGGTGTCTGACCCGAGTTTCCCTGCCTTTGCTGCTGCTTCTCGTCTCTCTGGGCCTCTTCTTTGTGCTTCTGGTGACCACCCAAGTCCAAGGTGAGTCAGAGGCTGGCCATGCAGGGCTGGGGGCTGAGAGTCCTGGGTCCCCTTGGGTTTTCCCTGTTGGGTGGTCTTTGCCCTTTCCATAGTCTCCAAATCCACCAGAGCTGGGCATCTGGGCTCCACTTGCCTTCCTGTGTGACCACAACAGGTCACTGTTCCTCTCTGAGCCCATCCCCTCACCTGTGAAATATATATCATCTTCCCCCATGAGGGGTCTGGGCTCTCGGAGACAATGGAGTCCAGCCCAGTGCAGGAGCAGGTATACAGTTGGTGCTCATAAAGGGCGGGGGGATGCTCTGCTCTGTTACAGTTGCCAGGATCCACCAAATCCTGCAGAGGGAGACCCAGGGCCATCAAAGTAATTGCAATCTGGGTAAGGACCTGGATGCAGGGTCCCATGTGGGAGGGAGCCACGGGGCCCTCGGACAAGCCACAGTTCCTCTTTGTGCCTCGCTCGTGTCTTCTTCAGAACCATGAAGAATGGCTGAGAGCATTCAGAGCCCTAGTAATGAACTTGCTCTAAGACAAGGACAACTAATGAGTACACAGCAGGTGCTTTGTGAATGTATTTTCTTCTTCCAGATGCCATCTCAAAGGTGCCTGGCTCCCAGGAGCAAATCCAAGCTCTGATGCGTTCAGAAGAGGAGTTACATCAGCTGAAGGCTAGTGTGGGTGAGGGAACCCTGGGTCCTGGAAGGGATCTGGGATCATGGCATTTTCCCGGAGACTGGTGGATTGTAGAAGGCAGTGCAGGGTGGGGCATGCAGGCCCCAGTGCCAGGGTTCTGGGAGGCTGTTGGTTCCTGAATTCAGGGGCTGCATTCGGGTTCCTTGGGTAAGGACCAAACATGTTGTTAGTTGGTGCCAAGTGATCCCTAGTCATGGAGACCCCATGTGTCATAGAATAGAATTGGCCTATCAGGTTTCCTTGACTATAATCTTAGTGGAAGCAGATTGCCAAGTCTTTGTTCCACAGTACCACTGGGTGGGTTTGAACCACCAGCCTTTAGGTTATCAGTTGAGCTCAAGCTGTTTGCACTATTTAGGGACCAAAAACAAGCATGTTGTTGTTGTTACTTGCCATCAAGTCAATTCCAACTCATGACGACCCCAGGCATGCAGAGTCAAACTGCTCCATAGGGTTTTCAAGGTTATAGTCTTTCAGAAGCACATTACCAGGTCTATCTTTTGAGGCAGCTCTGGGAGGTTTTGAACTGACAACCTTTCAGCTAGTAGTCAAGCACTCAACGGTTTGCGCCACCCAGGCACCCTTAAAACAGGCATGTTCTCATTGATTGTGGTTTGTGATCGAGTCGATTTCAACATGTAGCGACCCTATAGGATAGAGTAGAACTGCCCCATGGGGGCCCCTAGGCTGTAATATTTATGGGAGCAGACTGCCAGGTCTTTTCTCCTGCAGAGCAGCTGGTGGGTTTGAACAGCAACTTTTCAGTTAGCAGTCCAGCACTGAGCCACTGCATCACGGGGGCTCCATAGGCACCCCCGAAGATCCAGCACCTGTTCTTAACAGCTGCCTCTCTCCACAGCCAGCCTGTGCCGCCCCTGCCCCTGGGAGTGGCAGTTCTTCCAGGGAAACTGCTACTTCTTCTCCAGGACACAGCAGAGCTGGCAGGATGCAGCTTCCGCCTGTAAGAACGATGGGACCCAGCTGGTGATCATCAACTCAGAGATGGAACAGGTGGGTCTAGGGGGCCCAGTCTGGACTGGGGCATGCAACTGGCACCTGCTGCCACCCTCCCCTTGGCCTTTGAGACACAGAGGCCAGTTGGGTGCTTGGGGAGGAGGATGCTTCCTAGAGCAGGGTCCCCACCAGGCTTGGGGAGGACATATGGGAGGAGAATCTACAAGATAAGCCCTTGTGCAGAAATTGAAGTCTGAACACATGGGGATCAATCAAATCAACACCTGTAAAAGATGCTTCATGCAATGATAGAGGCAAGGCAGGCCATAACACAACAGGTGTATTCCTGTCTTCACACATCCTTTCAAAGATGCATGAAGCACCTGCAGAAATGACAGGTGGACCTGCATGATCCCTGGGAGCTGTATGAGTAGGTGTAGGGTCCTAACAGGCTTGAGAGTTTCAGGCACTCAGAACCAGTCAGAATAATAATAAGGGCTTAGGACAACCTCCAGGGAGTGGAGTGTAGACTGCAGGAAAGGCTTCTGTCCTGTAGGGTCAAGGGGATGGTGAGACCAAAGACTGGGGGCTCTTTCTTCTGATGTCCCTCCCTCACAGAAATTCCTGCAGTTCTGGGATATCAGGAAGAACCAGCGCACCTGGACCGGCCTCAGTGACCACCACAATGAGGGCTCCTGGCGCTGGGTCGACAACACTCCCCTCCAGCTCAGGTGACCCCCCAGAGAAGGGACTGGGAGGGGTTGAGCCAGGGAAAGACCCATGCCCTAGTCCAGAGGTGTTCATATTCTGGGGTTTGTAAGCATCGCTGGGGATCTGGGTGAAAAAGCAGAGTCTTAGCCCTTCCCTGGAGGGTGCTGATTTGGTTAAGTCTTGTTATTGGCCTGAAGGAGCTCCAGTGGCACTGTGGTTAAGGCATAGGACTGCTATCCAAAAGGTTGGTGGCTCAAACCCCCAGCCACTCCCCAGGAGAAAGATGAAATTCTGCTTCTGTAAAGATTTACAGCCTTGTAAACCCTATGGGGGTCATTATGAGTTGGAATCAACCCAATGGCAGTGGGTTTTCTTTCTTTTCTTTTCTTTTCTTTTCTTTTCTTTCTTTCTTTCTTTCTTTCTTTCTTTCTTTCTTTCTTTCTTTCTTTCTTTCTTTCTTTCTTTCTTTCTTTTTGGTTACTGGTCTGAGGAGTCCTGGTGGCACAGTAGTTAAAGTGCTTGGCTGCCAACCAAAAGGCCAGAAGTTCAAACCTACAACCCACTAGCCACTCCACAGGAGAAAGATGTGACATTTTGCTTCCATAAAGATGACAGCCTCGGAAACCCTGTGGGGGCAGTTCTACTCTATTTTATAGGGTTATTATGAGTTAGAGGGTCAATGAAGAAAGGGAAGGCCCTCAATGAGATGGATTGGCACAGTGGCTGCAATGATGGGCTCAGGTACAACAAGGATCATGAAGCTGGCACAGGACCGGGCAGTGTTTCATTCTGTACATTAGGTCACTGAGTCAGAGATGACTCGATGGCATCTAACAACAGCAACAACATGAGTTGGAGTTGACTCAATGGCAGGTTTGGGTTATTATTGTGATTTGGGTGAAAGTTTATGGAGCAAATAGCTTTTCCATCCAACAATTCATGCACATTCTGTTTTGTGACATTTCCTGCAATCCCCACCCTGTAACAGCATTCTTCCCACTCCCTTCCTGTGCCCTCCCCTCTCCTTCATCCTTCCTTCCCATCCCCTTCCCAGCTCTGTCCCTCGGCAAATGCTGCCCACTTGATCTCATATGCTTGATTGTT